TTTCGCAAATTAAGACACTTACATGAAGTCGTTGACAACGAGATCCCTACATTATGATTTGAAAATGAAAATATTTATTATTTGATCGCTAAGTATCACTTTCAAAGTGCAATAAAAAAAAAAAAAATTTTGTTACTTAAGTATATAATTTAGAGAAAGTAAAGTAAAATGAATATTTAGTCAAATAGCTAGGAGTGCTCATACATATATAAGGTTACCTATGCTGTTAAGAAGTTCTTGTGAGACCACACAGAATTATCTTTCTTAGTGTAGTTAGTAGGCAGGCAGCGAACCGAAAAGTTCTGCACTGGTCAGGGTGGTGTCCGCCTACGTCTCCATTACATCACCAGTGGTATAACCATCATTGTCTTGACTCTGGGCTTGTTAGCGTGCTGGCCATCCTAGCATCTTAGACAGCGATTAGCAGCTGGCGCCAGGCAGAATGTCTAATTGAGTGCCGAGTTGCATTCGCAATGGTCGGGAATGCAGGCAAGGGAACGGTTCACTCCGATTCCATCCGAATCCGCATCCGTCCCGTTTCAGCTCCACGACCGTCATAAATGGCAATTAGCGGAGACAAAATGGAAAATTGGGTCAGGGGGCTGCTAATTGCCTTAAATATGAATAAAAGCCACCAGTGTTTGCCGTTTAATTAACATTTCGAACACGTTTTTGGACCGGCAACGTGTTATACAAATCCGAATTAGCATATTCACGCCGAGAAATTGCATAAAATGCCAAAACAGAAATAGACAGCTGGTGTGGTGTGGTGTTGCCGGCGTCCACGACAAGTTCAAGTTCAATGACATCAAACAATAATAGGAAAATAGCAGCAGCATACATAATATGAGCCATGATTATGGCATCCACAGCCACATCCACAAACAAACACAGACGATTTAATATAGAGGTGTCTGTATCGTGCTGTATCGGCCTGAGAAATCTCGACTTGTATTGTGTTACGTATGTATGGGCCAGCTCAGCCGGCGTTTTGCTCTACTAAACAGCAAGATATTCATTTGCATTTCCAGCTGCCACTGTGGGTTTCTCCAAGCCTAACAGAAATTACAGCAATCATTGGCAACCATTTCATTGTCAAGGTGAAAGGTGCACGAGGTACCATAGGCATGACGACTCCCAGAGCCGAGGCGTTAATAGCCAAATTGTGTAATTGCAATTGTAATTCCATTTTGGCCGATACAGCATGGTTTTTGGACGTAGATCTGAATGTGAATGTGGATCTAGATGTGGCCACGTTACCGTTACACTTCAAATTGCCGACAGTTAACCGCAAAGCTTATTTACTTAAATGAAATTAGCCCCCGACCTTGTCGCAGGAAGTCGGGAATTTAATGCTGATAAAATCAGAAAGAACTCCGCCTGCCACTCTGCTGACTGCCTTCCAGGTTTCCGAGTTTCCAAGTTTCCGCCTCCGATTCTGGTTCACACGCTGCTCCGACTTCTGACCATTTAATTGGAGAATCAAGTGCAGCGGGCCACTTGGAACTTGGAACTCGGTGGCCCTTTGGCGGCCTGGTCATTGCCCTAGCCCCCTCGAAAAAGCGCGACTTGCGTGGGTCGGATCAGCGCAAACTAAGTGGCTCTGTGGATGGGCATTTAAGCCGTACAAATGCGTCTTTTATGAGTGTCTCGAGTCCATGGTCAATTTATCCTATCAACTGGGAGACCGACTTGCCAGTCACACTGCTCGAAAAACTGATTTATTCTTCGTTTATGCTTAGGAACTGGATGAAGCAACCCTTGTATTTATTAATATTAAATGTTAAAGTGCTGTAAAGCCTTTTTTCTCAGTGCACCGCAACATTTAGAGCTTAAATTTGGCTTCACACCGAAGTGATTTTGACAAATAGTTTTAGATTTTCTGAGGGAGGCGACGTTGGTGGGCCGAGCAAAGCAAAATGAAATGAAAAGAAAGGAAAGTCGTTTGGGCGCTTAGCATAAATGCTATTTATGGCCGAGAGTCAATTGGAGTTTGGAGTTGGATGGGCGGGGGCCTCCAATTGTGTCATTGTCGAAAGTTTTTTCGCCCCTTTGGCAAATCTCACGTTTGGCAGTCACATGGAGTCTGTGGATCGGGGATTTTGGATACCAGATCCCAAATCCCCAATCCCAAATCCAAAATCCCAAATCGCACAGAGACCCGTTCTTGGGGTTCGTGCGGGTTGGCCCGCAAGTTCGTGATCTCCGGCTGGCGTACTTGTTCTCTAAGTGGCTACGAAATTCCACAGCCACGCATCCGCAGCCAACACATCTTCGGCATCGCCATCGCCACATCCCCACATCGCCATCACCACATCGCCATATCGGTCAATGGTCAGCGACTTTGGCCGGTTTCTGTTTGCCCAGCAAACAGCTTGGACTCTTGGACAATGTATGGAATGGGATGGCCCCCGGTGTCAGGGTGTTTGCATATATGAAATATTTACGAGGAGGTGGAGTAGGAAGCTGTGGGTAAACCGTTGGTACGAGTGACCAGTATGCAGTATCCAGTACCCGGTGCTTGGTGCTTAGTGCTCAGTGCTTAGTGCTTAGTGCTATCAACACGATAAGCCCGATAAGCCGGATCCGCCTTTCCACTTGACATTGAACCTGGGCCGTGGCAGAAATGTTAATTATATGCGCGTGGCTAAGCCGATGACTGGATCTTGATTAACGCTCGTTCTGAGGCCCAGGGCCCGATGACGATGATGCTGATGCTGCTGATGACATCAGCGGGTCGTGCAATTAATATCAAACCATAATGATTGAGTTCTTGGAGCCTGCTGCCTGGCTAATACAAGCTAATTAGGCACATCGGCGAACATCATCGCATCAGGGCCCAGTCGAAGTTAGAAGTTAGATGCTTCCGCAAAAGTGCCATAAAGATGGGGCCTTATTGCGCAAAGCGGCGACTTATATGCGCAATAAACAAAAATATTGAAGATCTCCGTGCGGCGCACTAATGCCTTTGTAATTGGTTATAAATTAAGAAATCAGAAAAACAGGCAATGGGCCACATAAAATACATTTGATGGCCGAAATCGGATAGCTTGGATAGGTTCACTGACCATCATCGCAGTGGTGTAGGTGTCAATTGAAGACGAAGAATCTGGAAGATCGAAAGATCGAAAGACCTGGAGATCTGAAGATCTGAAGACCCCAAGAGCAGGTGTTCTTTCCCCCGAGATTCTTTAATAAGCATGAGAAAAACAAGAAACGAACTCACGTTCGAAGTTGATTGATGAAAACGCCCCAGCGCGCAAAAAGCCAGAGCCAAATTGAAATTGCCGTCTTCGCGTCGTGTCTTATAAAATAATGATAATGTGTGGCGGCTACCGGTTGCGAAGATGGTCGTTTTTATCGACCTTGAGCTTGAATTAAGGCTCGAACTTGATGGCCAGCTGGAATTGCATAACTCTCGAAACGATTCGGATATCTGAGTTGATGGCTGGGCAAACAATTGGCATGGATCGATGGGTAGATCGATCGATCGATGCTTTTGTTATGACGCAAATGCCACTTGTTGTGAAGTACGTGTATCGCAGCGAGATGCTTTATACTCCTCTTATGATACTGGAATACCTATACCATCTGACATTTGCGCTAGTCCCATTGATTTATGGCTCGCAGCTGTCAGCGGCGGGGTTAGAACTAGTCGAGGATACAAATGTATCTGTATCTGAATCTGTATCTGTATCTGTTGAGTCATGCTCACATTTATAATGGAACAATTCAATTACCAGGCCCTGCTGGGAAACTCTTCTCATGCCGCTGCGGCCCGGAGTTCATCAAACTCGGGGAGTCCGAGGCAAGTCCATTAGGCCGTTTTGTTGGCCCGGCTTGTTGGCTTGTTAGTGTTACCGATTTGTGACTGTGTGTAATAATCAATAAGTAGGTGAGAAACCCTGGCGGGGCAATCTATGTTTAAAACACCATGGGTTGCCCATCAGTGCTTTCCTCTTCGCTCGCCCCGTCGCCCATTCACAAAATTCTTTTCCACTTTACTTCCCTCTTTGTCAGAGATCCATTTCCATATGCAGCTCCACAGTTCGGACATGTGTTAATGAAAATTCCAAGAATTCTGAATGCAGGCTTCGTGGAGTACCGCGAATGTGGGTCAACGAGCCGACTATTGTCGCCTATCGTTTTGACTGGGCCAAATCAGTCAGTCAGACTCGGAGCTTGGAGTTTGGAGTTCGGAGCTTGGAGTTTGGAGCTCCGCCATTGCCTGTTTATTGGAAGACCATTAAACAATGGCTCTGGCTGCGGACCTTCTCCGGTTATGGACCGGATGATTGGTGGGTACCTCGAGTGGCAGTAACTACGTTTCGGTTTTGGCATTCGTTGACCGATATTCCTAAGGCCCAGCCCGTGGAGTTCTCTCTTCTTTTTTTGGGTTTATTTGACTGTAAGTTCTGTTTAAACAAGTCGTTAAATCGAACACGCCCAAGAACCAGAAAGACACCGTTGTTGCATCGCCTTTTATACTGCCGTGGTAAATGTGAAAGTTAACACATTGCTCACTTTTGGGCAGATGAGGTGCAGTTGCAGATGGGTAATGATAATGATGGTCGAGGCCATTAGCACTTGCTTTTAATTATGACCCGACTGCCTCCACTCAGTTCCACTCGATTTCAATTTAAATGGGGAAGGGCATGGCACAATTGAATTTGAGACACCCCGTAGAAGAGCCGCTCCTAATTGGGTTTTCTCCCCCCCGCGAAATGCAACAGACTTTCGGGCTTAGATCGCTGGTGAGTGTAGCAGTGAGTGACCCCTGACCCCGGACAAGTGGAAACGGCAGCTGTTGCCAGCTGATGGCAATTTGCCACAATGGCTTTAATTAGCCCGAAAATCCATGGATTCGCCGGCGATTTATGGCAAAGTAATCAGAGCAGACAAACTCGGGCAGATGGGCAAGGTACTCTGTACTCTGTACTCTGTACTTAGTACTTAGAGCTGGCTAAACATAATTTATGTTGACATAATAAACCACTTACCGGCTTGTGTGGGTATCAGGGCCATGGCCAGCAGGACGAGCGCCAGATATGTTAGCTCCTCGAGTCCCGGCGGACTCGAACGTCTTCTTGTCATCTTGTGGTTGTGGCTGCAATGGAGAAGAATGCGGGAAAGCTGGGGTTAATACGTGATAACAAAGGGAAGTAGAGGGGGACATTCTTGCGGACAGTCCGTTTAACCCTTAAATAACAATCAAATCGGGCGGCAATATGTTCCTTAAACGACTGGCACTTCATTAAAAAAGCATGACAAGGCACATGCCGCCCGTCTCAATTTATTTTCTTCCTTTTTTTGGTTTTCAAAATTTTCAATGGCCTCACAAAAGCAATTTACGTGCACAAACAGCACGAAAGCAGAAATTTCGGGGGCGGGTGGGAGAGTTGACATGTGAGCCACCAAAAAGCAAAACCACCACTAGTGGCACCCCTCCTCGAATGTCCTTTGCTGTCCCGTCCCGTCTCGTTTCGTTTCGTTTCCTGACTGGCTGTTTTTCTTCAATTGTTTGCGGAAATCACTTGTTTGCCGATTTGACAGATGTGCAATTTTCCCTGACATGCCCGCTGTCCCGCCGCCCAACCCTCCGGCCACTTCCTCCTCCAACTCCTCACCGCGGAGGTCATCTGTATCTGTATCCCTAAAGAATCCTGCAAGTTTTTTCGCGCTGCTGATTGAAAATGTCAGGCGCAGGCAAAGGAAAACTTTCAGAAAGAAGGACAACCCCTCCCACTTCCATTCCTTACCCCCCGGAGATGCCCATCGTTATAATTAGCAGGCGGCAACCGCCACATATCACGGCTTATCGGTCGACAACTGGCCAACTAAGTCGGGCTTATTTTATTGTCGCCCGGTAATGGCATCGAATGGCCGGCGACACATACGCTTCATATTTTCATTTATTAGCCCAGTTCGCTTGTCGGCTTTTATTTGCTTTATGTTACTTTAATCAAGTCCCAGGAGATGCAACACGTGATTCCACCGAGGGGTTGCTTTTCCGGAAGGTGAGGGGTGGTTGCTGAGTGCTTGTTTTTGGGGGCGTGTCTGGTGGATGTGTTATCCAATTTTATACATTCCATAAAGCAATAAAACTTCCGCCTAAGCACAATGGAGTAGGAAATAGGAGAGTATTGAATTTAATGCCTGGATTTTCTACAGGGATAAGGGACATGTATCGAATTTGATTCCCCAAAGTTCTAGTTGTAACAAACAATGTACTTTTTATTTAAAACATATAAGAAGAATTTCTTATAAAGCGTGATTATTGAACCCCATCTGGGTTCCTCTTTGGGGAGGGGGTCCTACATCCAGCTTCCCCTTCCTCCTTGAAATCTGAGTGGCTTCGATTTCCCCCTGCGGCTGCAGATTGCTAACGAAACAGGCAAATAAAAATCGGCTAATGCTCGACTCGGGCTGGGGCTCATCATAAATGCGCAAATTGTGCTCATTAAAATGCAGGCAGAGAGGCAGAAAGGTAGAAGGCAAAAAGGGGGCTGCCCCAAGAGCCGCAAATAGCATTGCTGTGCGCCGTGGCAACAGCAGAAATAACAAGTAACTGGGGGTATGCAACACACGAAGCAGCCTCGGTCAGGTTGAAAGATTGCTCCATGGAGCCGGGAAGCTGGTTGCTAGTTGCTGAATGTTGGATGATTTCTCGTCTCGGCTTTTCAGCCGGAGAACGCGGCATGTTGATGACGAGTTGACATGACGAGCGACAATAACAATAATGATAATCTCACACTGCCGCGATGGTAAGGATGATGATGATGATAATGATGATGGTGAGCCCGACTGACTGACAACGGAAGCGACACAAACTGGCTATTAGTTGCCGGCCAAAATGGCACTTGTTCTAAAGCTATTAGCAGCACACGAGCAACATGTTGCTGCCAGGCAGCAACTAGCAACCAGCAACTGGCAACCAGCAACAGGCAAACATCAAGCAGCAACTTGTTGCGGTAATTATTCCGCCGTGGCTAAATGGTAAACAATTTTTATTCTTTCGTATTTCTGCGGCTCTCAGTATTTGGGTTAAGACCAAATAAAGGGGTGGTCACCAGCTGCAAGAGGAGTAGCCGTGTGTGTGACCCAAATTCAATTTGTGAATGAAGTGGCCAAAAGAGCTGCACTCGGGAGATAGAAACTTTTACCCAAAACGAGGCAGGCGCTTGTTAACTTGGCCGACTTGGCCCGGGGCGTATATCGGTCATGGGAAATTTGCAAGATTTTCGGAAGAGCAAAGAGGAAAGAGGCTGGCAAGGGCAAGGCGAGCAATGCATCTTCATCCAACAATGGCTGGAATGGCCATGTGCGTTATGAGAAATGCATTCAGGTTCGGGAACAGATGGCTGGCGATGCGTGCATTTGCATGGCCAACTGGGGACTTGGCCAACTCCTCCTTGGCCAGGTCGAAATGCCCACAAAGGGTAAGTTGCTGCTGCGCATGCGTGGAGTTGCAAATGCCAGCTCTCGTTCCCCATTTCTCATCCACCCAGTTGCACAAATTGCGGCCCAGCTGCAGCTCTAATATAAATGTGTGGCACTCGGAGCGGCAAACAAACGAAAATTTACATTTTACCAAGGCAGACGGCCTCAATGGAGGGTGGGAAAATTTCCCAGCCAGGCCATCCCATCCCATCCCATCCATGGGCAGCATTTTGACAGTCGGGGCACGAGTTTCCAGCGGGGGAAAAGGCAATGCCAATGGCAAATGCAAAGGCAATGCCAATGGCAATGCAAAAAGAGAAGCCTTCGTTAGCATATCAAAAGGTGTCTCTTGTCAGAGAGCTATCTTGTGTCGGCTGTCGTGTCCGCTGTCCGTGTCTCCACGAGATTTGTACCATGACCCACAAATACACTTTGGCGCACGCATCTAACGACGACCCATCGACATCGAAAAGATCGCAGCCAGAGATCGATGGCAATTTGCAATTTGCAAGATGCAGGCTGCCACTGCAGCTTTAATTGGATTCTGCCCGGTATCAAATTGACATTTAGCACACAGACTTTGTCTTGGGTTCGAGCCCCATCACCAACCCCAACCCCATTCTCAATCCGAACCCGATCCCATCCTGCGATCCCCATCCCAGGTCCCGTCAGAATGCCGCAGTTTTGACCCCAACCTCACGCGTTCATCTGGGAGATGGTGATTGTGATGGCGATCCAATCCCATCCCACCAAGCTTATCGCATTACACTTCTTCGATTGCAATTGCAATTGCAATTTCTGTTGCTGCTGCTGCTGTTGCTGCTGCATGGCGTTAATTTGGTCTTGTGTTCCTCGATCGCCACACATTTAACGGTTCAGCGGCAGCAGCAATTGCAAATTCCATTTTTTTTGTTTTTCTATTTTTATTTCATTGGGACTGCTTTTGTTCTATGCACTCAGAAAAATGTTATGTCCAACAAATTTTGTTCATTAGGAGCATAGATTTTCTGTACACTAAAACAAGCTGTCAAAATAAGGGAAAAAAGTTTGAAAAGAGTAGTTTTATTTAGGGCCTTATGATTCCCATTAGAAAGGTACTTTAAAACTGAATATATATATTACTTTTCATAGCTTTTAAACTTGGTGTGCATGGGATTTTTTCATTTCTGGTCAGTTTTTTCCAAGTGTACCATTCTGTGCGGTTGTGCATGTCATCCTCATAAATCTGCTGTTGCTGCTGCAGAACTTGCAGAACTTGCAGCTCTTGATGTTGCTGTCCTGCACCCTAACACGTGTGCCTATCGCCTCTAAGAGTCGATACTCAATCGCATAGTTGTGGCCAATTGTTGGCCAAATTGTTGCGGCTTGAACTTTTGAGTTCTGCCAATTTGCAGTTGGCCTCTAGGAATGTGCGACCTTGCAGTTGCATCAAACATTCAATGTCCGGTAATTGTGTAGTGGCAATTACAGAAAGTGTGATAGAAATGAGATTTGGATAGCTGTGGAGATTGTTCTGTCCAAATTGTTAGATGCAAATCATCGACCCCATGAAAATTTGAGCTTGTCCTTAGTATCCGTCGACCTTGTGGCACTTTCAGCACCATCTTCAGCGGCCAAATTGAAGCGGTTTGCTGGGGATTAATAAAGTTCGCTCCGCCGATGAGCACGATCTGCAAATATAACGGTGTCGAGTGGCCAACAAGCAAACAAACGCACCAAAACCGAACTTCTTTGGAGACCGACTTGTGAGTCACTTGTCGGCATGCGGAAGCTGCCCAGCACGACTCCATGGAGTTGCAGCTACACTCCTCAAAAAATTAGAGCTACATTTAAAGAATATATTACCAGGTCCATTAAAAGATTTAAAAAAGTGGTCCCCTTTTTCTCAAAGTTCGAGAATTTTGTTTAGCTTGAATCTAAATAAAACACCATTTTATAAAATCCCAATTGCAGTTCCCCAAACTTCTGTGCTTTATAAAAGGAATTTCAAATTTGATTTGTTATGAAAACAATGAAAGTCATTTAAAATGATAAAGAAATATGTAATACAAATATTTGTTTAATGGCTTGTATATATTTCTGTAGCTTAAAGAAATATTTTCTTGCTGTTCAAAATATTTCTCATTATTAAGAAATAGTTAACATTCAATAACAATTAATATTGGCTGTTCCTTTAGACAAAATCTTCCCAGTTTTTTGCCTCATTTTCTGCGAGTGTATAGCCTGGGAGCTGCAACGCCAACGCCAACTTGCAACAGCAACTGGCAACTGGCAACCGGCAACAGCAACTCCTTTTCCACCGCCAGCAGCGCGACGGCAATTTGCCATTTTCGCTGTGTCGGAGGCAGCACTTGAACTGGATTAGTTGCCTGCCCGCCTTGATTTGTGACAAATCTTGATGACGCTGGCTACCGAGTGCTCGAGCGCCTGGGGCATGCAGCATGCAACCAGTAGCCATATGTGGACTGACCCAGCAGCAACACCAACAGCAACACCAACAGCAGCAGTAGCAACAGCAACTGTGGAAGATCGTGAGCTGATTTTGTTTCGAGCCTCATTTTTTCGCTTGCCACAAATTTCTCTTTTTCTTGGGGTCAAGTTTGTTGCCGAAGAAGCGTTCTGATTTCCCTGAGTTGCAACTGCGAAATGCAGCTGCATGCGATTTCC